ATAAAAACTTAATTATGCCAATGATCAAAACCGTTCTTCACGATGGCGTTGCCAGCTTTTCCATCAAAGTGCAGGGAAATGAAATACCTGCTACTGTACAGGTGATCTCGTTGCAGGTAAGCGCAAGGGTAAACAGTGTCGCCACTGCCAGTATTGTGTTGCTGGACGGTGACATGGCCAGCGGCCAATTTGAATTGAGTGCTTCCTCCATTTTTTTGCCGGGGAACAGTATCCGTATAGAAGCTGGCTATAACGGAGACCATCAATTGTTGTTTGAAGGCATCATCACCGGGCAAACCATTAGAATTGACGGGGCAAAGGGATCTCTTCTTGAACTGGCCTGCAGTGATACAGCGGTGAAGATGACCGTTGGCAGTAAATGCCGCAGCTTCGCTCAAATGAAAGACAGCGATATCATGGCGTCCATCACAGCCGGCTATAGCGGTGTAACTGCCAATATAGCCGCTACAGTAATGCAATGGCCCAGCCAGGTGCAGTACAATTGTACCGACTGGGATTTTCTGCAATTAATGGCCGCGGGCAACGGCATGCTGGTGACTGCCCTCAACGGAATGCTGAGTGTATTTTGCGCCACCGCCAATACGGCGCCGGTGGTACAACTTACTTATGGAGCAGACATCATTGCGATAGAACTTCAGCTGGATGCCCTTACGCAGCTATCAAACGTAAAAGCTACTGCATGGGATCATAAAAGCCAGTCCATGTTAACGGGCTCGGCGGGCAATGGTTTTGCCGGTGCCGGCAATCTTTCACCCAAAACATTGTCGGCGGTAGTGGGTTTGCCGGAGTTTGATCTGCCGGCCACCGCCGCGCCGGAAGCGGCTTACCTGGATGACCTGTCAAAAGCAACCATGCTTGCCAGTGAGTTGGCAAAGATAACCGGCACAGTTGTTTGCCAGGGAACAAGTATTCCCGGCCCGGGTAAATTTATCAGGCTTGACGGGGTAGGAGCCAGGTTCAATGGAGACCATTTTGTTTCAGGTGTTGTGCATACCATTGCCGCCGGTAACTGGACGACTGAAATGGCATTGGGGCTTGCGGTGGCAGCAATGGCGCCAGCTAAGCAGGCAGCCATGCAGCAGGTGAATGGCTTATTAAATGGTATCGTAAAAAAAATAGCAGCAGATCCGGAATCGCAATACAGGATACTGGTGGAGATTACCGGATTGGAAAGCAATGGCGAAGGCATATGGGCCAGGCTGTCTAATTTTTACGCCAGCAATGGGGCGGGTGCATTTTTTCTGCCGGAGATAGGCGACGAAGTAGTGCTTGGTTTTTTAAACAGTGATGCACGTTACCCGCTTATCCTGGGCAGTGTGTACAGCAGCACCCATCACCAGCCTTTTAAAGGACTTGTTCCAGAAGATGAAAATCTATTGAAAGCCATTGTGTCCCGATCCGGCATTGCGCTGCAGTTTGACGACGAAAATAAGGTGCTTACGCTTCTGACACCTGCCGGTAATTCGGTAGTGATGAATGAGCAAGACAAAGCAGTAAGCCTGCAGGATCAAAATGGCAACAGTATTGTTATGAATGCAGGCGGTATCAGTATGAAGAGCAGTAAAGACATTCATATTGAAGCAGCACAATCGCTCGCACTAAAGGCGCAGCAGGGAGTGACTGTTGAATCGTCCGGTGGCGACATTACACTAAAGGGGATCAACATAAAAGAAACCGCCGGTGTGGCTTACACACTGGAAGGCGGGCAAAGCGCGAACATCAGCAGTGCAGCGCAGCTATCACTCAAGAGCGGATTGATAATGATAAACTAACTCATATGCCAGCAGCAGCAAGGTTAACAGATTTTCATGAATGCCCCATGCTGGGTCCGGGGGCAGTTCCGCATGTGGGCGGCCCCATTGTTGGACCGGGTGCCCCCAATGTATTGATTGGTAATTTGCCTGCCGCCCGCGTGGGCGATGCGCTGGTATGTGTTGGTCCGCCCGATACCATTATAAAAGGCTCCGCTACTGTGCTGATTGCCGGGCAGGCAGCCGCCAGGGTGGGCGATGCCACTGCCCATGGCGGAATAATTGTGATGGGGGCGGTAAATGTTATTATTGGTGGCTAGGGTGCAGGCATGGCAGCGCTGGCGCATGCCACCCGGGTTTGTGCTTAGGGGCGGCAGTGCCGTTTGCTTTTAAGCAGATAGCTCAAAGCCGGTATAAGCGTCCCCAAAGTTTGGCGACAGTAATTTAGAGAAAGTCTTTAACGCTTTTTATTTTTCTGTGTAATGGTATGGCAATGTTAAACAAACAGGGATCTATTGATTTGCTTCCTTTGCTTTTTCTGTTACAAGTTTTTTTTCTGCATTTGCACGTAATTCTTTCAGCCAGTTGTGAAAATCTTCCGGGGCTACAAAAGGATGTACTTCACCTGGCTTACGAGTCTGCAGTAGACGGGCTCTTTGAAATATTTTCCCCGGTTCAGGATGGTTGGTAATACTTACCTGAATGTCTTTTATTGCTAACAGCCGATCCATGCTCTGCAGGTAAACTCCAGTTTGTTTTACGCCTTCAAAGTTCAATCCTATTCCGCCCAGCATAAACGCCTTATAAGTGTTGCTCCCATCTTGTACAGGGAAAGACATAGATAGTACGCCTAAAGTATGGCCCGGTGTGATGTAGAATTTTATAGTTGTACCGCCCAGTTTCAGCGAGTCGCCATCACTGATAACCAGGTCGCGGGAGTCACGTGCGAGACGGGTGTTTACATTGGCATAATCATTTTTTATTTTCCATTCAGCTATCTGCCAGTCTGTTTCTGTCATCCCAATACGGGCACCGGTCACTTTTTTAAGTGTATCTGCACCTTCGCAATGATCAAAATGCCCATGGGAACAGATAATGTACTTAATTTGTTTTGGGTCAAACCCAAGTTCTTTTACCGACTGAAGTATGTGCGCAGGGTAATTCCTGTACAGGGCATCTATCAGTACCAGGCCGTCATTCGTTTTTATTATGTAGGCACTTACCCAATCAATACCTACATAATACAGGTTATCAAATATTTTAAAAGGAGGAACGGTCTTAGCATTGTCATACTGGCCATACTGGGCAGTAACTGTTGAAAATGCAACAAAAAAGCCAATTATCAGCAGAAGTGTTTTTTTCATGTATGGCCTGTAGGTTTAAATGAAATAGTACCGGAGCAATGTTTCAAATCTGTAATAAGGGGTCTCAAAAGCACTGCTCCACAATTGAAGCAGCACCTGGTTTGTATTTCTTGAAAATTGAATTGCTCTTAATGTTTAGTTTTTAGTTGATACTTTTTCCAGTTCAAGTCCGAAACAGCAAAGCCATTTATTACAATGTGTTATTTGTGTTGCTCAAATAAACTGGTGATACCGCCAATAGCATTCCATGCTGCTGTTTTGCAGCAAAGGATCCCTTGCCAGGGATGAGAACAGGGCTTGTAATAGCAGGACGGTCAGGTACAAAATAAATATAGTGGCCGGCTTTATTATCACGGTTTATCCCAGAATATACGTTGTGTTAATCCATCGCCGCCCATACCCGCAACCGCTGCCTTGTAGTTGTCAGGGTTTGAGGCCTTTTCAGCATCAGGATAAGACATGCGTCTTACAAAGCCGCCTCCCGGGACTAAGTCATCATTGTACGTATTACGTGCCAATGCCGGGAACCCGCTTCTTCTCCAGTTGGCAAAACCTTCAGGGCCGTTGGTTATAGAGCATAGCCAGTACTGTGTATTGATAAGCTTAAGTGCGTTTGCATCATTATATGCAACTGCAGGGCCAAGCAGGTAGTTGTCTTTTTCTGTGTTTGAAACGGCGGGGCTAAATGTGCCGGGGAATAAGTTCCATTCGTCCATAGCTGCTTTAACGCCAGCTTCATAATATTGCTGGGTTGTTGTGGCACTTGTAATCCACCCCCTGAATTTAGCTTCTGCCAATAATAATTGCGTTTGCGCATTGGTAATAAAAAGAGCCGGGGCAACAGTACTCACCATTACCTGGTAATTAAGCTGTGTGTAGTTTAGTCCTCCGCCTTTAGCGCCTCTTGAACCTGGAGCGGTTAAAAAGCTTACCGCATCGTATCCTACTGGAAATCCATATTGATTAGCTGTTGTGGTATCACGTGTGGAGGTGATTGTTGTAGGATTGGCATAGCTGGCCCCGATATACTTCAGCCTGGGATCAGCAGTGCTTTTTAACTGGTTAACAAAAGGCTCCGCTAAATAATAAAAATAGGGACTAATGTTCCGCTGCAGGTTAGAAAAACCATTGGGAACTGTACCGTTATACTGAGTTACAACAACATTATCGCTGTTTGAAAGAATAACACCACCTGCAAATGCTTCCTGTGCAATACCTGCGGCTTTGGCTGCATCTATTTTTGAATAGCGCATACCCAGGCGCAGCATTAAAGAGTATCCGATTTTTTTCCAGTGGGCAACCTGTGCGCTTATTAAAGCAGGGGTAGAGGTGGTTGAACCACCAAAAAATAAGTCACCGGTTACATATTCATTTGAAGCAGACAAAGCCGCTGTAGCCGTTTTAAGCTCAGTATAAAGGTCGGCATAGATATCGGCCATTTTATCATACCTGGGATAGTTTACCCCTTCCAGGTATACTTTTCCTGCATCGCTGTAAGGCACATCACCGTATGTATCAACAAGCGTCATAAACGCAAACGCTTTCCATATCCTCACCATATTATACAGGTTTTTATTGGCCGGGTTGTCTTTAACAATACTGATGATTTGTACCAAAGGTTTGATAACACCTGTATAAGCACCCCAACGATCGTTGCTATAACCATCTATGTCCAGGTTAAATTGAAACCCTGCTGTAGCACCGGCGTTATAGGCATTTATATATTGTTGTACGATGGTTTGTTCTCCATCCCAACTGCCAATATTCATACCCCGTTCTGCCCCTGTAAATAACAATCCCGGGTCAATTTTTGTAATGGCATAAGGGTCTTGATTTTTCTTTTCAAATCCCTTTGTGCAACTCACTAAACAAAACGCTGCAGCAAGGGAGATAATAAGACAACTATTTTTGTTCATATAAATAATTTTAAAATTTCACATTTAAGTTAAGCCCCAGCGTCCGGGTTGTTGGTTCAGTATGTTGCTCATATCCCAGGCGGCTGTCGCTTGTTGAAGCGAAGGCTTCAGGATCAACTGTAGGTATATGTTTCATCAGCAAAGCAGCATTCCGGCAAAATGCAGATACCGTCAGACCTTTGACAAACTTTGCGTTTTTACCAATAAAGTGGGTCAGGTTATACGTAAGTGTTATATTCCTTAACTTAATAAAGTCACTGCTGAAAACAAACGGATCTCCTATATTTTGAGAACGATATTGAGCATAAAATGTTTGTGGAGCCACTGATTTTGTATTCTGGGATCCATCAGGTAACACGCCGTCGAAAATAACCCCGCTGCGACCCGCTAAAGATGCCTGGCTTTGACCTGATCTTAAACCGTTTAATGCTGTTGACGAAAACACCTTGCCGCCAAATTTGCCATCAACCTGAATTAGTAAACTCAATGACCTGTAATTAAATGTGTTTGTTATACCACCGATCCATTTATAGTTTGCACTACCATAATTTACCATGGTTTTTGAAGGCAGAAGTCCTCCTGCACTATTTAACATTACCTGTCCTTTATCATTGCGGAGATATGTGTAGTCTACCAGCTGGTTCATCTCTTTTCCAACATCATACGCTAAATAACCTATAAACTCGTTTCCTGTGCCGTTAAAAAAAGTTACTATCTGACGGGTTTGTCCCGGATTTAATGCCAATACTTTTGAAATATTATAGGATCCATTTACAGATACACCCCAGCTGAAGTTTGCGGTTTTAACAGGTATTCCGTCAATCATAACCTCTACTCCTGTGTTTTTCAACTTTGCGATATTAACATATTTAGTACCGTATCCTGTGGCGGTTGATAAAGCAACCGGCAAAATCTGGTCGGTAGTCCTCTTGTCATAAACGGCAATATCAAAATTCAGGCGGCTGTTTAAGGTTCTTAATTCCAAACCTATTTCCTTTTCGCTAAGACTGTAAGGCTTTATTAATGGGTTTGGGGTAGTTCCGTTAGCATCAGTTCCGTTAAGAGCGATGGTTCCGATTGGATAGGTGCCGAACAGTTGTGATGCTATTGTGTAGCTCAGCTGGCTGCTGAAAGGAGCCACCCCGTTTGCGTTACCCACCTGTGCGTAACTCATTCTTAATTTACCATAGTTCAGCCATTTCATATTGGGTAGCAATTCGGAAAAAATCAAACTGGCGCTTGCAGATGGATAGTTGAAAGAATTTTTAGGGTTAGCAACTATTGAACTTGGTGGCGTAAGTACAGAAAAATAGTCAGTACGATCAGTAAGGTTCAGGAAAAGAAAGTTTTTATAACCAACATCTGCAAAAGCATATAAAGAGTTTACCTGCGATCTGCTAATACCGTAATCCTGGGTTTTGGTAATGCCATTTGATATGGTATAAACGTCTCTGACTACAAAGTCTGTAACACTTTGGGTGGAGAGGCTTCTGTTTACTGTGTACATATTGCCACCTGCGCTTACGTCTATAGAAAAATTGCCAATTTTGTGGCTCGTTCCTAACAGAAAGTCGCTGTTCATTTCTTTGTTGTAACCCGTGGAAACATTGTAACTACCCGCCCAGCCACCGGTGGCACTATTGATGGGTGCATTAGGTGCATAATTACTCGGATTATTAGCTTCATTGTTATTGTACCCGAAGTCTGCATTTACACGGCCCTGCAGATACAACCATTTAGT